GAATTATTAGTTCCTAATAGTTGGTTAATTCAGCTTTGGAAATGTCAAATTACGATTATTGGGTTTAAAAATTGTCCTTATTAAAAAAAACGCTGCGACCGGAGTTCTGAGTGAATAGTACTGCGAAATTTCCTTAATAAAAAGCAATTCCGAGGATTTAAAAACTTTTTAGATCGTATTTTAATGTAAAATTCAATTACTTTGATCTGAGAAAGTAGCATTAAAATATTTAGGGGCAACCGCTTTTTATTCTTTTAAAATCGAGGTAATTAGCGGAGAGAGAGAGAGAGAGTCGGAGAGAGAGGGAGAGATTGAAAGAGTGAGAGAGAACCTATTACCGCGAAATTCGATTGGCACTTTCTGCAAAAATCCAACTGCGCTGGGATCTGTAATTACCGCCGCACGAACCAGCGCTTTCGATAGCTTCATAAATGGCCAATTTTGGAGTTAATTCGGCCTGAATAAATTCGACATCGAATTGCGAATTAACAATTATTTTTCAACGCTGAGTGTCACAATTTTTGAACGTAATTTCCTAGCCGATCGAAAGTTTTTTTCCTCGAAATTACAACTGAATATGGACAGCTGTAAGAACATCATATATTTTGAAAACCATATACTTAATTTTGCTTTTAAAAACTAAAAGAACGTAAAAAATTTGCAAAAACAATGTTTCCCTTTAAGAGCTTGTCGCGGGTTCCAAAATTTTCTGGTAATTGGCGGTAGGTAAGATCGTAAAAATACCTTCAAAAACACAAGCAAGTTAAAGTTTCAAAATTATAATTTATATTACTAAAAAGACCATTTCATTCAACCAATGAATAAATTTAATTAAAACAATATTTTCATTCTAATGGGAAGCTTGCTTCTGTTTTAAACCGAAAGGTGCCCTGCATTTGAAACTCCTGCTACCGTACCCCGTAGGCCCTGAAAATGCTTTTTTGCCCGCTTTTTAGCCCAATCAGGGGCAGCAGGGGACTACAAAATTAGCCTCGTTACCCCATGGATTTTCTGCAATTTTTATTCTTCGCTCCGGGACCACCCCGAGAAATGCCGAAAAATGGTCACTACGTGCTCATTCTAAAACTGATGTTTTCATGGTCTGCCCAGTGTAGGGTACGGTACAAAAACCTGATTTCAGAGCGGGAATGCGACATCAAAATTAAATGAAACATTAAGTTGTAAAAACTCCGGATGGCTTTTTAAGGCAACGAGATTCAGGTTCTTGTGCATTATCCGGGGAGGAAAACCTAATTTATCCCTATGAGCCCAGAAATGTTCAAGAACATCATAGTAAATTTTGAATAGTTTTTAGTACAATTTTAATATACTTAAAGTGGATTACTGATGTAAAAACAACGTTAAAAACTCTTAAATTTATGTCGGAAAGTCGATACTTTTGTAATTTTTTGTAACAAATTGTCAAGATTTAAGGTTACGAACGCAAAAATAGCGGTTTAGAAACCATTCCGTTATTTAAATTAAAAAAAATTGAGCTGAAGAAAAATTATTACTTTATATTTGCTACTATCCGAAATGATTATCCATATTAAAAATTCCTATTTTTTAATTTTTCGCGAAACATCATTTTTTAACAAAAGTCTCCTTCCTTCTGTGCTGTGAACCCAACAGTAACCCGGGAACCGGAATAAAAACGCAAGAAATAGCTTCGAAATAATTCTTTTATTGAAATTAGAAAATTGAAAGCCCCTCCCCCCCGATAATGCCAAAGCACCCTGATGGACATCAGTTGATTGCAGAGCAAAATTGAGCAGCAACCCCTTGAAAAGCCCGCATGAGATTTGGAACTTATTTTTGGATGAAACTTTAATGGGATCACGGAGCCCCGGAGCGGCGGCGGCACGCGTGCAAATTGGCTTCGTTATTAGCATTCTAGAGCCACCGTCTAAAATAAACATCCCTAGGGAGTAGCGAAAAATGAAGCCAATCAACTACAATTTTTTTATTCGGATTCCCCGGTTACGGCAGGGTTCACAGCACAGAGGAGAGGAAAAAATTTTAAAAAATGATGTTTCGAGGTAAAGTCAAAAGTCGGAATTCTTAATAGCGTTAATGGTGAGCGAAAGACCCAACAAAACCAAAGATGTTTGTTAGGATCCAATTTTATCAATAGAAATAGCGGAATATTTCTATTTTTTTTCGAGGAGAATACGGAGGTTTTTATTATCATAAACCTAAGAACCTTGCAAATCGTGATTCAAACATACAATAAATATCGATTTTTCGACCAAAAGTGACGACTTTTGAGCAAAATTTCGACTTTACGGAGATTTTTCGAAGGTTTGATGATTTTTCTAGTTGAAATTAATTTTATTTTACCAAGAATGTGATAAATTTTTTCTAATAAATTATCAGTCATACTTTTATATTACATTTTAAATAGAATCTCCGGAAATCCGACTTTCCTAGGAGTTCAGCAGATTTTTGACCCCATTTCCTCTAATTTTCCGGGGTTTTTCATGTGTTTCGTGTCACGACTACAAAAACAGCCTGATTTTCCCACGACGAGTCATGGGCCCGTCACGAGGTGCCAGAAAAGTTTGTGGTACACTATCTTGGTAGGAAAACAGGGAATGTTTCAAATTCTAACAATGTCAGTACTGGCCAAAACTAATTTTGCTGGATTTTAATGGTTGATGAAACATGAAAATTGAAAACTGGAGAAAAGCAAGGCAGGCTAGCAGAGACTGTTGAGGAAGAGGAGAGGGCAGGCTAGCAGAGATTGTTGAGGAAGAGGAGAGGGCAGGCTAGCAGAGATTGTTGAGGAAGAGGAGAGGGCAGGCTAGCAGAGATTGTTGAGGAAGAGGAGAGGGCAGGCTAGCAGAGATTGTTGAGGAAGAGGAGAGGGCAGGCTAGCAGAGATTGTTGAGGAAGAGGAGAGGGCAGGCTAGCAGAGATTGTTGAGGAAGAGGAGAGGGCAGGCTAGCAGAGATTGTTGAGGAAGAGGAGAGGGCAGGCTAGCAGAGATTGTTGAGGAAGAGGAGAGGGCAGGCTAGCAGAGATTGTTGAGGAAGAGGAGAGGGCAGGCTAGCAGCGATAATTTAGGGCCCCAAAGCAGAATTCTCTACAAAAATAAAAGACCTAACGTCAAGTGGAGCTCGGCGGACAAATCGGGAGCCATTTTTTGAGGCCCCATTCCGACGCGATAAATGAATTCGGGGCCGCAAATTCTCGGGCTGGCACCGCGCCAACGTCTGGTTTGATGCCGAGCAAATGGGTTTTGCTAATGCCAGACATTTTATGAGTTGATGGAGTTTCACTTTCTTACAATCACATTGAAGAGGTTCGAAGTTTCTAAGAAATATGTATCACTGAACTGAATAAAATGTTTGGGTGGCTGTAGCGATCCTCCTCCGACAAGCCATTTTTTTAGTTTGACACTGAAAAAAGATCGGGTGCACAAACATGTTTCATAGTTTTGTATACTTTTTAGATAGAGACCATGTTAATGGACAGATAAGCGTTGTGAATAATGGAAAGCAACCGGAGCTATTGATGTTGGGGGGGGGGCATCTTTTTTGGCTCCCAGTCTGAGGCCTAGGCTTAGCTTTAACTTTGCGTACGCTTGGCTTATACTTAGCTTGGGGGTAGGCGTGGCTTAACTTAGGATTGGTTTCTGGCTTTAGGCTTCGTCTAGGCTTACCTCAGCCTAGCTTATGCTTGGCCCAGCCTCTAGCTTAGGCTTGTTCTAGACTTAGCTTAGGATTGGGCTTACGCGTAGGCTTGGCTTAGATTACGCTTTGTTAGACTTGGAGACAAGCTTAGACCGGAAAAAACCTCCAAAAAAGATGCCGCCCCCCCCCCCAAACATCAATAGCTCCAAACAATCTGTGATGCACAAAATAATCGATAAAACTTGTTAAGAAACTACGTCATAAAATAATGCTAATAAGCTATATAAAACGCTGACTAAAACCAAAATTCAGAGAAGATATGAAAAACATTCGGGAAAAAATGGACTTCCTATCAGCTTGTCAACATTTCATTTTGTCGAAATAACACTGCCGAAATTTCAGTGCATTGAAATTGTGACAAAATGATTTTTCGAGGCAACGAAAATAGCTCCCAAAATGCCTCCAACGATCCAACCCGAAATCTAGCCCTGTAATCCGGTAGGGTTGGTGCCCATTTTTTGCCCGGGCGTTTCCCAACCAACCCAACCAGGTTTACCACACTTCTAATGCTCCAGATAAGTTTTAGAGACGAAGCAAAACCTATTCACGTATTCTGAAAATTTTCAAATAGGTTTTCTAGCTCATAAAGCAATCTTAAAACGCAAAAAATTCGGAAAAATCAGCCTCAAATCCCTTTAACATTTTCCGAATCCATTACGCCAACAAATCCCCATTTTTCCGCTTTTACTTGTGTACGCCCCCGGTGTTCGGGAGCGGGCAACGAGAGCCCTTTTCGGTTGTCCGCCGCTTTGGGGTCACTCGCTGCGGGAGAGGGGCGGGCCCCCACCGATCATAGCGCCCTCGGACAGCCCCTCTCCACGCGGTGAGATGGCCGAGTGGTCTAAGGCGCTGGTTTTAGGCACCAGTCCTCCGGGGGCGTGGGTTCGAATCCCACCTCATCAGTCTTTTGCTTTTGGGTCGGGGTTTCGGGAAAGGTATCGGAACGAGTTGTTAATGTGAATTAAAGGCATTTGTCGCAATTTTAGCTAGTTTTTGGTCATGAAATCGACACATTTCCTATTTACGAAAGGTACAAACTTTAAACTTAAATTAATATCGCGCTGATTCACCCAAATTCTGTATTTTTTTCCTCAGGTAACGGTGTAATAGTATATTTAGTAGATAAAATATATCCACTTTATTACCCATAAAAGGCAAAAAAAAAACAAAAATGATAAATGTAAAAGGATAAAAAGATAAATCATCAACAAGGCGAGATCAAAACGTGATATATCCCGGAAAAACAACACGACAAATAAACATAGCAACCCGTCTTTGGCAAAAATGACAACATTAAAGCGACTACAACACAAAGGGCACTTGCTCGTTGAGAACACGGATCTGGTCGTCAATTCGTCGAATCAGCCGTCGCTCCAGCGCCTTGCCGGAGATGATGTGCGTCGAGTAGAGGCACAGGCGAGACTCGGCGATTGCGCATACCTAAAAAAGAAGCTAGTTTTAAAGGAACTAATTTTTTCTAATTCTAAAAATGTCGAGTAACTTCAGATCAAGTGTTTTTATAGTGTTTTTAGTAAAATATGACAATCATTCAACTAGAAAAATAATTAAATTCTTCAAAGTACTAAAATAACTAAAAAGTTGTGCTAAAAGTCTAACGATAGGTAAACTAGGCAAACTACCTAAAGTATTTTGAAAGTACTAAAGAAACTAAAAATTATGCACGAGAACTTAAATGCCGATTAACGTAATAGAAAGTATCTTAATGGTGTCCTTAGTCAAATTTAACGATACTTGGAGTGAAAAACTAATAAATTCAAAAAATTTATATTCCTCGAAAATCGGCAAAATCGATACATTTTGCATTTTTTAAAATGAAATTTCGACGTTTTTGGGAAAAATATTTATGGTTATTCAGTAGCAAAAAAAAACAGTATATGTAATCTACAAATACGGAAATTTGTTAGTGCCCCCGTTAATGCAAAAGCTCCAAAAAACCAGGCAGGTTTCGTTTCTTAGCACCATTTAATTTTTTACGATGAAAAACATCACCAACCTGGCCAAACATCCGGATGATGGACAGCTTCAGGTCGGGGTACGTCTACAAAGAAAATTTTTAAGACTAAAAACTCCAACTGACCATGGCCAACTCGCCGAGCTCCTCGATGATGCCGTTGAAGAGGCGCAGCACCTGATCCCGGCCCCCGTATCGCAGCAACGTGCACAGCGCGTTCAGCATCGACTGCACGAACGGGAACGTCATCTCCACGCGGTACTAAATGAAAAAAATACACTTTTCACCTTTTCACGTTTAGGAATGGCAAAAACAATTAGAAACGCTTCCACTATTTAAATTTGAATCACTGGATGCTAAGATAAAAATTTTGTCCGCCCCCCGATAATGCAAAAGAACCGAATTTTGAGTGTCTCTTACTTCTAGCCTGAAAATGACACCAAACCCTTGAAAACGCCGTTTTAAAAGAAGCGCGAGCTTGCCGACTAAAACTCCAAAAACCGACGCACCTTTTTAAATATCTCGACAATCAGGATCGCCGTGAATATGCGGCGCTTGTTGTCGGGGAACGAGAGCATTTCCTAAAATCAAAAAGCATTAACAAAGCTAAAAATTAATTATAAAAGAAATAAAAACAATAATTAATTTTTTTTTTTTTTTTTTGAAAGAAAAGGCAATTATTAGGGCATTTTAATACCAAAAAAATGACAAACCTGTATCAAGCCCTGGGCGACGTGCATCGACGGGACGCCGTCGACGATCGGGCGGATCATATGGAGCGGGAAGGTCTGAAAAAGCCATTTAAATTCTTTTAAATCTTGAAAATTAAAAAACAAGCTACGAAAACTTAGGGGACCTTTTTAACGTTACAAATCATGCTAAAACACAAGCTAAATTTGACAGCAATAATAAAACAAAAAAATTACCTCAAAAGCACGAGCTTCAGCACCTGCATGTCGCGGATGAAGATGCTGTGGATGTAGTTGAAGGCGAGATGGCGAACAGATTCGAACCGCTCGATGCAGCCGACTAAACAAAACAAAAAACATAATTTAATAGCCGTTTTAACTTTTTAGTATGGAAATTCCTAGTTATCTAACAACCCCATTAAATTCTCAGAAAACTTCTGAAACCCTAAAAATGGCAAAACACTTTTTTTTGACGAAGCCTCAAAGCCAGGTTTCAAAGTGTTATATTATTGTGCTTGGAATTTTGTAAAAATTCGTTTTAAAGGGGGCCGTCAAGCCGGCGTGAAACGTAACTTTAAGACCATAGGAACTAGAAAAATCTGGTCTTCCTTTTTCTAAGTTAAATTCATGTCTTTCCGCGGTACGACAGGAAACGACGTTATGACACGACGTTACGACATGAAATTCAACGTATCCATGGCTTCCAAATACCTTTAAAGCGTTCTAAAGCTACAAACCATTCGTGTTCTTCTCCGAGTCGCAAATCTCGATGAGCAGCTGCACGGAGGCGGCGCGCTGCGCGTGGTCAAGCACAACGAACAGGTGATCGCGCTCGTCGCAAATTCTAAATAAAGCAAAAAAAATTAAATCATAGCTAAAAATAATAAAATTATATAAACTATCTATCAAATTAAACGATAGAATTGTGCTCTGCGGGATTTGGATCGGATACAAAAAGGATCATAATTTTACGTCCAAAATGAATTCTTAGATTTTCAAAACTAATTTTAAAACTTTAATGAAAAGCTTGGATGTTTTATATATAGATTATACAAGTATATTTGATCGAAACGCGATAAATATAAAATGTAAGTCTTAATTTTGACCAAATTTAAAACCAGATTGTCAAATTTTTAAACCGTATCTGATCGAATTCCCTTCGTTTTTTGGCGTTTAAAGGTGTTTTTCCGAAACCTAGACCCAAAAAAGGTGCGTTAAATAAAGGTTTAAATCGTGTGTTAGGACAGGAAATGGGGGTGGAGATCTTTTGGGGGAATTCGGTTCTGGTTCATTAGCGGAGGAGGGGACTATTGGGAGATTACCCCCCCGCTAACGAACCAGAACCGAAAATGCGAAGGGTGGCTAATAATTTAACCCGACCTCTGCCGATCCTCGAATGTAAGTGGCCTGAAAAATGTTGCTTTTAGCTTTACCGGATTGAATACAACTTTCAAACGAGCTTTTTACATCTATAAAACTATACAAACGACAGAAAAATACAAATCCCAGCTTCCCGACAAAAGCAAAACATTTTACCCCGGCCGAGATCGAACCCGGGTCACCGGCCTGACGACCAATAACACTACCACTCTGCCACTGGGAATTTTCGAGAATCCTTGCCCCTTTCATAAGAACTTTGGGTTCAGTGCATGATTTTGATTATTACTACTTGCAATCAAAACTTTCAAAAAGCGTAAAAAACCAACCTCTTCTGATCATCATACATATTGTTCGTCTTCATGTTGGCCCGGAGCACGATGCGCTCCTCCTCGGCGCGGGCGGCCTCCAGGAAGAAGGACAGCAGCTTCAGCAGGATTTGGAAGTGCGGTGGCGAGGCGAAAACTCTAAATAAATTAAATCATACATAAAAACGTAACAACTAAAAAAAAAGTTAAAAAGTTAAAAAGTTTTGTTAAATACGGCCAAAAGCAAATACCTTTTGTCGACATTAAACACAAGGCATGGCTGCACGTAGGCTTGCGCCACCGAAAATGGCGTCAATTGCCACGAGGCGAGGGTTTGCTGGAAACAATATCGTAAATAGTTTAATATTTTAAAAGTTAATTTAAAAGGATGAGGACGTCCTCTGGGAGGGAGTTCAACAGATGCGGCAGCCAAAAAGCATGCTTCATTTCAAAACCTGGCAATAACAAGAATTTTCCGATTTATTCGTGTTCTCCGCTTTCTTGCGCAAAACTAATTACACACCGTAACCGATCACTAGAGCCAACAATTAATTGCGTAATCGAAAAACCCCCGGCTGACCTCCATCAATTCCCTCGGCACAATTGCTTCGATTCGGGCCCAGAGTCGGCAGATTGGCTCGGCTATGAGGGATGCTGAAAAACAGTGTTTGCTGGCTTTTCCCAAATAATCTCTGCTCGTCTGCCCTCTCCTCTTGCTCCTGAATCTCTGCTAGCCTGCCCTCTCCTCTTCCTCAACAATCTCTGCTAGCCTGCCCTCTCCTCTTCCTCAACAATCTCTGCTAGCCTGCCCTCTCCTCTTCCTCAACAATCTCTGCTAGCCTGCCCTCTCCTCTTCCTCAACAATCTCTGCTAGCCTGCCCTCTCCTCTTCATCAACAATCTCTGCTAGCCTGCCCTCTCCTCTTCATCAACAATCTCTGCTAGCCTGCCCTCTCCTCTTCCTCAACAATCTCTGCTAGCCTGCCCTCTCCTCTTCCTCAACAATCTCTGCTATATCGCCACCAAATTCAAAGCAAAACCCACTTTCCAGACTTCCGCTCTCCGAAAAATCGGCAGCCGGCACGACCTTCGGCAGGCACTTCTTGCTGGCGCGGACGATGATGGGCAGAAGCCGGGCCTGAAAAATAATTTGCCGTAAAACACGAATTCCTTCGCATTGCTGTTGCGTTGCGGTCAGCCCTCAGAAGAATAAAAAAATTACCAATTCAGCCGCGGAAGCCTGCTCCAAGTCCCTGCACATCTTCCGAGCCGCCGCGTGTTGTTCTCCAGAAAGCGTGGATTCGATCTGAAATGGGAAAGCAAATGATTTCACAACATCTAAAAATACGATAAACAAAACCAAATTTTGGAGCTGGGGTTGAGCGTGTTTTAAAGGCCGAGAGAACGTACAGTACACGCCGGACCGTCGCTCGCGGTGCGTATAATTTTTTAAAGGGACAGCGACAGGCGGATTTAAAAAAACCTACCTCAGCATCCGGTGGCACCGGCCGGCCCTCCCTGGCGGCGTCGACCCTGACCAGCTCGATGCTCTCCCGCGTCGGCCACATGTAGGGAACAGTGCCGTCGCACACCGTAACTAAACGTACAAAAATGCATTTTACGAACTACAACAACCGTACCAATGAGCCGCGTATCGCCGCGTACTCCTCCTGGGCCATCACCAAGCTCAGCAGGTATCGGATCGGGATCTTCTTGTAGAGCGATTCTGAAACACAGGAGATGGATTTCCATAAACCTTTTTGAAAATAGCTTCCTTGAAAAAATATCGACAAAGCCTAAAAAATTAAATTGTGGAAAAATACCGTAAATATTGCTGCCCTTTCTCCCGCTCAGCGCGTAGCCCCGATGGTAGGCGAGCAGGTATTGGAGCACCAGGATCCGCGGGACCGTCTTTTCCTTGTCGACCAGCTGCCCGGAGAGGACTTCCTGGAAAAACAAATGATCTCTGCTAGCCTGCCCTCTCCTCTTCCTCAACAATCTCTACTAGCCTGCCCTCTCCTCTTCCTCAACAATCTCTGCTAGCCTGCCCTCTCCTCTTCCTCAACAATCTCTGCTAGCCTGCCCTCCCCTCTTCCTCAACAATCTCTGCTAGCCTGCCCTCTCCTCTTCCTCAACAATCTCTGCTAGCCTGCCCTCTCCTCTTCCTCAACAATCTCTGCTAGCCTGCCCCTCTCCTCTTCCTCAACAATCTCTGCTAGCCTGCCCTCTCCACTTCCTCAACAATCTCTGCTAGCCTGCCCTCTCCTCTTCCTCAACAATCTCTACTAGCCTGCCCTCTCCTCTTCCTCAACAATCTCTGCTAGCCTGCCCTCTCCTCTTCCTCAACAATCTCTGCTAGCCTGCCCTCTCCTCTTCCTCAACAATCTCTGCTAGCCTGCCCTCTCCACTTCCTCAACAATCTCTGCTAGCCTGCCTCCCCCAAAAAAGACTATAATTACCTCACAAAATTCCCTGGACAGCCCGACGACGCTGGTGACATGCGACGCGTGTTCGGCCAACCTAAATTTAAATTAGAAAATTTTCATAAAAATTAAAATCCAGAAACCCCGAATTCACATGCGAGTTTTTGTATATTTAGCCCCAAACGGCCCAAAAAACCATTTTCATTTTCTAGTCTCAACGCGCCGGTTAATTCTTCTTCTCTTCACCTTACAGGGAGAAGACCAAGTGGGCGGAGCTTATGCAAATTTATTGAAATCTGCGTTTTTCAGAGGATGGAACAGAAAACGCCGTACAGTTCACTGAAGATCGGCTACACGTCGCTGCAGCGGCTCAACCAAGTGACCCCCTACAACTCGGTGGCCGCTGTTGGGGCCACTTCGGTAGGGGCTTTTGAAGGGATTGGCAAGACATGACTATGGGTCGATTTTTTGCGCTTAATTTTGTGAGTAATGTTTCATTAGACTGTTAAATGTTTGAAAAAGTCGAAATTTTGATGAAAAATCGGCCATCTTGGCCGAAAAGAAAAATCGATAATTGTGATTTTTCAGTTTTGAAAAGGAGAGTGACATCTCGGCATAGACTTTTCAACCGCTATTCAGAAAGACCTGAGGACGAGCTCGACCCGTTCGGCGGTGACGCCCAACCGCCCCAACCACTGCTGCGTGCATGGGACCGGGCAGTGTGCGGTAAGTGGCTTTTCTTGGCTTCCGAGTCCCTTTAAACCCAAAATCCGGTTTTTGGGGTTTAAAAGGACCAGGAACTTGTAGTATGCCTGTTGGTCCCTTGAAACCGAAAATTTGCAGGTGGAGAAGAAAAAGCGGCTGAACCAGGCGCCCTCCGCTCGCCCGCCGCCCGACCCGCCCCGCTCCGGAGATATGAGTGGGTGAATTTTAAAGAGACCGGCAAGGCGTGGGTCGCTTTGGACCTTCGTCTTGTCCCCCCGATAATGCAAAAGAACCAACGCCCACGTTCAGAAGCCCGCTCCACCAAGCAGAACGAGCAGTACGAGCTGATCGAGGGGCTGGCCGATGGTTGCTTTTCATTTGGAGCGCCGCGTCGCCGTTGCTTTGCGGGCGCCGAAAACCTACAACCATACCTTGCCGGCCGGCCCCTTTAAAAACGGTTTTCCAGCCGGCGTCCCCGAGCAGCAGCAGCAGCACAAGCCGGCGAGCAGCGTCAGCAGCGGCGCCTCGAACTACTCGTACCAGACGGTCGATTCGATGGTAATGTGGAAAAAGTACGAAATACACCCCTCCCATCTACAGTACTCGCCCGTCTACGAGGAGGCGAACGGGCCGGCGCACAAGGCCTATCGCGGCGTACAGACGTGGGAACAGGCCGAAAAGCTCGTCATGAAGATGGGCGACTTCATCCTGTACCACAGGGCGAGTTTGGGCAAAAATAGGTGTTTGTGCGTTATCGGGGGGAGGCGCTTCCTGAGTATCCATTAAGTATTTTCCACAGTTTTTTATATTCGAAATCTTCAAACTACAATTATCAACAACAACAAAAAATAGATTTTTCGACCAAAATTTGAATTTTTTTTAATTATTGAAGGTTTCTATCGAATTTTTTTCAAGCTAGATGGCCGAAGTGTTGCTAAACGGTTTTTTTACTATTCCGAAACGCAAAAAAAGCAATTTTTATCTACATAAATTTTCGAAAAATTCGATTTTTTTAATTATTTGGGTTTTTAATCAGTTTAATACTTTTTAAAAATTCGAAAGCCCGCCTGCGATAATGCGAAAGCACCCCTTTCGATTAAAATTTCGGTAAGACTCCAGATAACCCCCCCCAGCCGGCACCCAACTTTTGTATCTCGGCTCCCTGTTCATCTACAGGTGTGTAAAGTATACCAAAATGTTCGTCTTGCTCTGGTGAGTATTTTGGTATACTTTACACCTGTAGATGAACAGGAGCCGAGATACGGCAGGTGGGGTCGGCTGGCAGGGGGGTTACCTGGAGTTTAGCCAAAATTTCGTTACAAAAATCAAAAACTGCCTTTACAGTACCCCCTGATCCCGGACATTGTCAACCTGAGCAAGCTGTCGGCCAGCCTGAAGATGTACGTCTGCTACCGCTCGTCCAAGGGAAGCTACCGGTCAGTTCGGATCTACTGTATCTACCGTACCCCCACTGCCGTTTTAGCCACTACCGCATCCACTCGACGCGCAGCTACACGGAGCCGTTCTTCTTCGTCGAGTGCGGCGACCCGAAGCCCAAGTTTTTCCGCAACCTCGACGCCCTCGTCCAGTACCACCAGGTGTGGAATTTTGTTGTGTAACGGAATTTCGGCTCGGTCAAGTGATTAGCGAGCTCGCCGCTCAAGTTTAGGGCCGGGTTCGAATCCCGGGCGTGTCATTTTTTGTTTTTTGCTTTTTCCAGTTTTCGACATAAATTTTTGAAGATAAAAAATAGCTTAGAAACACTTCCGCTATCTATTTTTACAAGATCGGTTCATAAGATACAAATTGTCTTTTTCTCCTGGCGTATTTTTCTCAATTTAAGGACCCGGGTTCGACTCCCGGCCGCATCACCTTTTTCTATTTCTAAAATGAAGGATTTCCAGAGATACGGCAACATCTTCCAGTCCGATGACGAGCCCCCGTGCGCCGACCTGTTCCCGTGGTGGAAGTCGGCGACTGTTCGGCAATAACCGATCGCGTGCCCCCTCCCATTAATGCGTGCTTTTTTACATAGACCTGGCGTGAATAAAGGGTTCTACTTGTATTTTTGCATTTACGGGTTTTTTTTTCTGATTTCGAATCTGCATTAAAAAACCCCGTTCCTCACCTCTCGATGACTTCGATGAGCACGGCGCTAGTTGGAAGTGCGGCTGCCGAAATTTGGCGTCCTATCCAGCTCTGGAAAAAAAACCAAAGTACAAACTACGAAACCAGCTTTCTCCAGTACTAAACTGTTAGCAGGGGGGAACAAGTTAGATTTGGACTCGAAAATCTTCTAAAAACTCGACAATTGTGATATTTTCGTAATGCTGTCGAATTGTTTTTTCTAATGCGAAAAAAGCCATCTCGGACCCTTACACAAACTACAAAAAACGAAACGGACCCCGACGTCGACGTTGTACTTCTGGAACACCTTCTGCGACAGCAGGTCCGAGATCCACAGGATCGGAAGCGGCTCCGAGGACTCGTGCGAGTCGTGGAGATCTGGAAAAAACGAGCTTCCAATCACCCGGTGCTATTTGAATTACCTATCGTAACCGGTAGGTCGACGCAGAGGAGCACGAGCTCCTTCTCCCGGCAGCACGGACAGGAGAAGGGCGCGAATCGCTTGAAGTGACGGGAGGTGATGGCGACCTAAAAAGGAACAGATTTAAATAAAAAAAAGTCGTCCCTCACCTTGCAAGACAGCGAAGAGCCCAAAAATCGGTTAATCTCGTCGACACGGCCCGTCCACACGCACAGCGCCGCGACCAGGATCGAGTGGAAGGTGGAGTCTGTAAATCAAATTTAAAACCTAAAATCATACGTTTTCACTACAAATTTCCAAATTTTTACAAACTAAATGCAAATTTTAATGTAACGGAAAGTCACCAAATTTCTCTATGTTAAAATTACCTTGACGCTTGTGACTGGCGATGGCCTCGGCCTTCAGCCACTGTAGGTAGTCGACCATCCAGCGTTGCTCGTTGTGCGGCGTCGACGCGTTCGGCGTCGACTGTTGGGCGCTGAAAAGGAGTTACAAATTAAGCCAAAATATTAAAATAAACGTTTTATAATTCATCAAGAAATTCCAACTTTATGAGCTGCTAAGCTTCAAAATTTACAACAAAATATTGAAGACCTAAAAAAACGCATTTTTCAAAAATGCTATAATTTTCGCGTTTTCTTTTATCCAGGTTTATCTTATCGAAAATAACAAAATCCAGAAAAAAGCGATCCATTTTCTAGGTTAACTTTAAAGAATTTCGAAATTTAGAAAACCCCACCTCGTCAGCGAGGTGATCGACAGCAGCGCGCAGAGCGCGGCGTGCGTATGCGAGTGGACTGGAATCTGTAAAAAATCATCTTCCATCTAACAAACTTAAACTCACTTTAAACGTCAAGTACTGCTGCAGCAGCTCGAGATCCTCGCGACTCGGCTTGCCTTGGCAAAAGAATCTTCAGCTGGGCGAGCGCCATGATAAATTCCGGGTTCGGCTCATGGTTTTTGCTGAATAAATATATTTAAAACCGAGAACCAAAAAATTCGACCAATTTTCCAAGTTTCCGTTTTGGTTTTAAAAGACTTTTTCCGCTGGAAATATAGATAAATTTTATCAAAAACACTATAAAAATGGTATATACTATATCTTCAAGTATAAAAAGCCGACCTTTCCACCAGCTTCCTCAGGATTGCAAAAGTTCGCTGTAGGATCGGCGCGACAACTTGCGGTTTTTGGGCGCTTCTGAAAACACTGATTTACTCGAAAATCGAGTATTTTTGACCTTCTGATGACGATGTGGACGGGCGAGGTGTTGTCGGTCAGGGTGGGACGACATGAACCTCACGAATTGCGTGTCGGAGCCCTCAATTAATTTTAATAAAATTTATTTCTAGAATATACTATTAGTGCGCAAAGCCGGGCAGCTGAGGCGGCATCGCGCTTGTGCTCCGTCAACTTGGCCAAGACGCGATCGGTGATCAGCACCGGGCATAGGGAGAGTAACTAAAAAATAAACAATTATTTTAGATATTTTCATAAAACTTTGTAAAATAAAATATAATAATAATGATTAAAACCCACATTCATCAACATTTGCTCGCGATTCTTGCCCTTTGGCGTGTCCTCGGGCGTCACTTTCTAAAACACAAAAACTGTTTAAAAAGACAGTTTTAAATACCGTCAAAAGCGCCTGGATGATGAGAGATCGATCTCGGAAGGGACGTTACAAGCTATCTAAAATCGAATAATTTCTGTTTTTTAAGCGATAAAAGTTAATTTTCATTATATCTAATTTATTAAAATTTACCACACGATGTCATTAACAAAAATTCCAACATTAAAAACCTCGTTAAACTACCGGGGAATAAATAAGATAATTTGCCTACCTCCGCCAAAATCTGCGGGCCGTTTTGGATCGACAACAGCCGGGTGACCACCAACGACGTCTTCACGACAGCTGAAAATTGACGCTTTTAAAAACACATACAACGTAGAAAATAAACCTCAAAACCACATGGCATGTGCAAAATCGCCAACGACAGCAACAAGGTCGCCATCGGCAGCTCGCTGTCGCCGACCCATTGATGCAGATTGGAATCGACGATTTCTAAAAACTTCCAACCTTTTTTTTCATCGCAACAAACCTGTGCGCAGCAGCTTCGACACGTAGTAGACGTACTTGTCGGCCGGGCTCTTCGAGGTGGTGTTGTAGTTGGAGAAGTCTAAAAATGATGAAATTTGTGAAAATGAGCTTCAAAAAGCAAAAAAATCTTGAAAATTCGATGCCTACCATTGATCCGTTTCGCCACCTCGGTGTAGTCGACCTTCAAACAGTCGAGGATGAACGACTCGCGCGAGAAGGTCGTCAAGCGCGCGAAGAGCTCGGGCTGAAATATGAAAATTCATTAAAAAACTTGTTTTTTGAGTAAAGGTAGCTTAAGAAAAGTTTAAAGTAAGTTTAAAGTCTTTAAAAAGTTAAAGTTTTATTTTAAAAGTAGTTTCTAAGTAAAAATCCTGTTCCTAAAACTTCGAAATAAATTTTTTAAAGCTTAAAGCTTCGGAGAAGCTGAAGTTTCACATCTTCTATGTTTTGTCGTTAAGTTGCAATTGGTTAAAAGTGAAAAGCTCTAGTTGGAAAGTAAAAGCTTCTAAGTACAAATTTTGTTTTCCAAAACCTGAAAAGATCCAATTTTCCTTTCAAAACCTTCATTTCAAAGCTCAGGAGCAAATGAAGCTTCATTACATCTTCGTTTCAACTTTTTCTCTTCTACATCATCAAAAAATCCCTCACCGCAACGCTGCTCGAATTCGGCCCGAATTTTGACGACACCAACAGGGGCAGGAAGGGCTGCAGCTGGTCGTCGCTGAATTTGTCGAGCTCCCCATCAACGATCCTCGGCGCACGGCCGTGAAAACGGCGGTGTGTTTCTAAACAAAATTTTAATAACTAAATGTAGAGCAAACTTTATGCTCGTATTTTTCAAAGCCCTCACCTCCCATTCTTTGTGGGTCGCCATCCGTGTGGAGCGTCGCAACGCACGGGGCTAGCCTAAAATATCGATATTTTCCAGATTCCGCTCAAATTTGTAAAAAAAAAATTTACAAAACAAAATAAAAGCTTTGAAGTTGAAGATTTTTGAGATTCGAACTGGAGTACGACGCAAACCTATCGACACTCCGATAGAATGCGCGCGTCGACAGGGCCGACTTTTTCATCGGCTAACGCGAAAAGGTTGTTTTATTACAGTAAATCGATGTAGTTTTTGAAGTTTTTAATGTATAAAACGGTAGTTTAAATAAAGCTCGATGCCGACCTGGCCGAGTTACAGCTTTGGAGCCATGGCTTTGGGCGCAAGGCGTTCAAAATAGCCCGCAAAACGGGCTAAAAGGTTAACGATTTTTATTGATTATTTCTTGTTTCGAAACAATATTTGCTGTAGTAGAACCTTTCAATTGAGGCTTACCGTCAGCGAGCATGATTTAAAGCACCTTCTGTACTTTAGAAAGCGTAAAAACGACACAAAATTAGGGAATAAATCAGTATTTATGTTCGAAAAATTAATTCCTGAGGAAAAGTTTCTCCCCCAATAATGCAAAAGCACCGATTCCTTTTTATTTATTAGGTTGCATTTCATTTCTTACAATTCTCGAGTTTGTAAAGCCTCTAAATTCATCCCTTTTTCAGGCTCGATGTCCGAGCGTCAATCGACCTCAACTTCCGCCGCCCAGGATGACGAGCGACCAGGCACCAGCACCGCCGGCAACATCGTGAAGGGCACCGTGGCGGGGACAGCATTCGTCACGCTGGCCGCCAGTTTGAGATCGGCGTGGAAGTACAGCCGCTTCGAGGAGGCCAAGCACCTAAAGCAAGCCGAAGTCTTTTCCGGGGTCGGCTTCGCGACACGCCCTCGCCCTGGCCACATGTATCACCGTGTCCGGATTTACGCTGGCCGTCGTCGGCGTCTCGTGGCTGCTCAGCGTCAATACGCCACGCCAATTTGGGGCGCAAATGAGAGGAAATGTTCGGCGACACGTTACGACTGGAATCCAGCAAGAAAACGGTGTCCACCGACGAATTCGAAAAGTTGTTGATGCGCGCCGTTGCCAAAGGCCGTGGAAGCCAATTTGGAGGAGAAGAAAGTGGAATAATAGAATATCCCAGGCCCCGTGTACCTTTTAGCGTTTTTGTTGATTTTTAGAGTTTATCTGATGATGTTTTTTGGCACTAGGAAATGTCGCACAGTTCGCACGGCAATATTTGCTTTAAGTTATCAACGAGTAACGTATTTTAGGCCTTAGATACTTCTAATTGCATTATTACAAGCGTAGGAATCAGTGCGACATTTTCTAAGTGCTTCATTTTAGCCAACATGTTTGTGTGATTTTCGGTCTTTTTTGGCTAGGCTCCTGAATTTTTTGCACTTTGTTAACTAGTCTGCCAGGAGAACGTTTTATACTTGTTTTGCGTTTTGTTTGCTCGCTCTTTTCGCGCCTTCACTCGTCATACGGATAAATCCCATTTTTAGCAGCATGACTGCCGGAGACATCGTGGAAAAGCTGCCGGCGAAGCAGGCCAAATCGGCGGAGGTTGGAAATTTTTTAGGACTTGTTAGAAACTGAGTTTTAGAAAAGCAACAGCGCCTCCGAGCGGCTAGCCGATCACTTGTCTGATGAGAACTACATTGAGCAGCAGGACCAACAGTTGCGCGATATTGAGCAAGAGGTATGGCTTTATAAAGATGATTTAATTCGGATTTTTTCAGACAAAAATGGTTCCTCTCATCGGCCCGAAGATACCCTTCGATGTGGTAGTGCAAGAGTATACGCCTCACGAAACGCCAGAATTCTATTTCAAGGTAGAGTTTGGAAAAGTGGAGGAGAGGGCAATTTAGCAGAGGTTGTTGAGGAATAGGAGAAAGGCAGGCAAGCCGAGATTTTTGGAGAAGTGGGAAAGTTAATTTTTTTGCTTTTAGGCCAGCGACTTGTCGGACACGTACGCGTGGATACGCCCGATGCGCCGTGACGGCAACTGCTTCTACCGCGCCGCACTTGCCGCCCAAGTCGAGCGAATTGTGCGTGACCCGGATGAGCTGAGACGGTAGGAACTATCTTTCTTGCTTTTAAACCCCGAATTTTCAGCTTCGACGCGGTGTGTAAGGGCTGGAAAGACCGGCTGCTGAGACTCGGCTTCCAGGAGATGACCACCACCGACTCCGCGATGTGGTAAGCACTCGGAATCTGATTTTTATATCTTTTAGTTCTACGAGCTGTTGAATCAAATCCTGGCACACGAATTGACTCTCGAGCAGGCGCTGACCAAATGCAACCAGGACGAGTACTCCAACTATTACGTCATATTTTTGAGGTGTGTTTTTAGTCGAATTTATCGTTTCTTTGAATTAATTTTTAATGATTTTTGCCTTTTCCTACTGGTAGCCGCGCAAATATTTCGAATTTCTAATTTTCAAGAAGTGTTTTACAAAAAAAATTACTTTTTTGGTATTTTTGTGGTAAAAAGGCTGTTTACAAAAATATCATGTTCGAAAATGTGTAAAAAATTATTGTAAAAGTGTCATTTTCCAGACTCGTCGCCCCGGCTACCTGAAGGAGCACGCTGACGAGTACGCACCGTTCATCGACAACGGCCTGCCGCTCGAGCAGTACTGCGCCCAGGAGATTGAGACGATGTGGCGCGACGTCGACCATTTGGCCATTCAGGGACTCGTCAGCGGGCTAGGTGAGGGGTTGAATTGGTAAACTCGCCGTATGTTGCTTAAAGGGATGCCGACGGCATAGTCAATCGGTTACGCGCGGAAAAGAAAATGTCTCTGCGCCTCTCCCCTGGGCGCGCCCTCTCCCTGTTGGCTACTTGACAATTTGTTGATGGGGGGGGATTGACACATGCCGTCGGCAGCCCCTTAAGCCTTTTACTACAAGACGTACTTTCAATTTCTGAGAACCAAAGTTCCGTTTTAAGGTTGTATCTCATTTAGCGGCTGTGTTTTACATTTGTAGGACGCACTTTCGAAATCCTCTTCAGGCCTGTCCCTTCGCATCGAGTACCTCGGACCAGACGGCCGTCCCCAACGGTGGCACAAAACACTACGACATCCCGGCGGACCCGCGCGCACCCACCGCCGGTCGGGCTTCTACCGCCCTGTCACTACGATCTCATCTTCCGCCGTTGATCCCCGAAAAAAAAGTCGGCCGCTTATGCGTGTTTGGGTCTATGTGGCCGGTCCCCGATAACAGCGTCTACCGGTTTGTCATTTGATTGTGATCCGTGTTCTTCCCCCATTTTGTTGAAACCCAAAACGTTGGCGAGCGATGGAGAGATACTTGGGCACACGGTTCTCTTGGGATTCGGGCGAGGGTAAATAATTTTAAAAAATCAAAATCGAATTTCGCTTCTTTATAAAATAAAACTACAAATTTGCATCATAAAATTCATATTGTCAGTGCAAAATTGCTTTTTAGCGAAACTGGCGAAAATTTTTCATTGGCGACATCTTGTAATTTTTGGATGTTTTCATTTCAAACTGATAAAATTTCATTAATGTTTTTCAAAAACTAAGCAAATTTAGGCGAAAAATCTATCTTTTGACTCAAAATTACCGAAATTCACGTTTAGAGATCGGAAATTTCAAAAAGCCCGCTTGAATCCCCAAGCAATCGTTAACCGGATCTCGGCATTTCAGCATCTGGCATTCCCTGTCGCCTGTCCCCTTAATTTAACTAATTTATTCCGAACCCGGAAAACGTGTTGACCATCCCTTTGATAATCTTTTGAAACCTGTAAAACGTTGTAGAGAAAATCCAAAGTTTCCCGCGCTCCCGGGTCTCGAATTGTATTCCGTAACCCTGTTTCTCTAGCCACGTGTGAAATTGCTCTGTGTGTATTGTATGTTTTTGAAGTAAACGTGAGGATTAGTTTATTTTTTTGGCTCACAAAACGTTGTATGTTTCCGGTTCTTTCTCATTATCGGGGGGGTTAAATTTTTTCCTTAGTATTCAATTTTTAAATATGAATAGTTAAACTGTTTCTAAAGTGTTTTTATTATTCCTAGGCGTAAAAAGTTTGCTAAATTTTTTATTAAAATACAAAGAATTTCGATGTTACGACCAAAATTGGAATTTTTGACATTTTTTAAGATAATGTTGCTGGGTTGAAATATAGCTTCATTTTTACTAAACACGATTAAATACTCCCTATTAAGTTACTAGGCATTTCTAGGTTTGCAACAAAAATTCTGCCCTCCCCTCCCCGAAAATGCGAAAGAACCCAAGTTTTATTGTGTATTTCTTGGCGCTAGGCTGCTGGGCCGGCGACTTCGAGGGGTGCGCTCTCGATGGAAAAATCTGGAAATTAAAAAGAGGCTTCTGTAAATGTATCCGCAAGTCTTACTTTAGGCATCTTCTTCGCAGTTATTGCTCGGCGAGTCCGGCACATTTTGCACGGATTTGGCTTCTAAAATTATTTAAATTATGGTTTAAAATGAAGAATTGCCTTCAGCTTGGCTGACCTGCACGGCCGCGGCGGTTTTGGCGAAATGAAACTGGCTAGACTCTGAAAAATTGTTTTGAAATATTAAAATAGTGGCTTTAAAATATAATCGAAAAATAACAGTTTCAAGATAAAATTAGTTTGTTTGAAAGTGTTTTAGATAATAATATAATCGAAAAGCTAAAAACTACGGCCACCTTTGATCCGAATTTTTCAAATCCGAGCATAGCAACTTTAAAATGTCCTCAATCTCGCCGTCGGCCTCGGAGCTGCGCTTCGCGCTGAAAGTGAAATTTACAGATTTTACGGAGGTCAATTTTTTTTAGTCTTATTTCTATTGGGAATTGAGTAAAATAAAGCCTTTTAAAAAGAAAATTTTAGCCAATAGATGTTTCAAGAAAAGAGGATTTGGTGTTGCTCGTAGGGCTACAATTAACTCAGTTTGATGCCACCCCCAATATAAGTAAATTTTCGCTAGAAAACAATTTTAACCTATTTTAATCGCATTTTCAGCTCAAAAATCTTATTCTAACAAAACAGCAAGCGGAGCGTCGAATAAATAAAATTCTAATAGATAAAAAACACTTTTCGAAATATTGAAAAAAGGGTGTTTCATAGAAATTGTGATGTCTGCAAAATCCATAATCCATAATTAATCGTAATTGTTTTTTGCAGCGGTAATTTATAGCCTTAAATGACTTTGAATTAACCCCCTTAGGGAAAATGGAAAACTCTTTGTCTTGCAGCATTTATAAAATTGTAGAATTTGTTTTTAATTAAATTAAAGTCACTTTTTAATTGTTTCTTAATCCTTAGAATATAAATAATAATAATTTTTTTCAAAGCTAATTTAAATGCTGTATAATGAAGCTAGATATATAGACGCTGAGAAACTCACAATTTTCGCGGTGATTTCGGCGGGTTATTTGAATTGCTGGACGAAGCCATAGAAATTGGGTTATGCGAAATATCGAAAAGTCAAAACGAGCAGCGAGAAAATAGGTGTTTCTACAAAATCGTGTATGTCGAAAATGTCGAGGTTTCGTCAATTTTTAGGACGGATAACCAAAATCCGGAGTTGGGTTAACCCCTAAACGGTGTCCCGTAATCGAATATTGGGACCCTCGTCCGGATTTTGGGAAAGCCGGACCGGAATCCACTCAGGAAAATGAGGCGACCGGTGGAATGGAGTTTTCAAAAGGACACGTCTTTTTGGAAAACCGGAAATGTAAAAGCATAGAAAGGCCGAAACCTGTAGAAAAATCTAGAATTAAAGTAAGCATTAAAGTATTGAGCTTTGGACGATTACTACGTTTCCTTTGCGCTGTTGCTAAATTTTTCGAAACATTTTTTAAACAACGCAGATAAAACCTCAATAAGCAAGCAAGCAAAAAAATTTCTTTTGGAAACATAAAAAGCTTAAAAATCTTGAAAAATCCGAAAAATGGAAAAAGAAACCCTGGCATTAAAAAGCTGAGAGCTACAAAATAGAAAATTAGCTGCTAAAATTTTAATTAGAGCAATAAAAACAAAAATAAAATTCCGTGCTGCCAACACCGCGGCGGATTAAGAATTTGGAAGGCTAACAAGGAGACGTTTTTGAGTGAAGAAAACTACCAATCAAAATCAGGAAATCAAAA